GGCTGCTTTCAGTCCTTCCCTGCCCCGCCTCCATCCTCCAGGAGCCTTGTCCCAGTCTCTCTCACGCCCGGCTCCCAGCTGCAGCTCTGCTCCCCTTTGCTCCCCTTATTCCTCCGGGCGCCCGCTGGGGGTGCATCGAGCGCATGGAGGAAACACGCTTCTTGCTCTCGCTGTGTGGCCAGCCCCACCGCCTCCTCCAGCAACTGCGGGGAGCCCTTTCAGGGACAGCCCTGCTAAGCCCCCACAGCCGCAGCATGGGGCATGCACACGTGCACTGTGGGGATAGTGCGGGCCCAGTCCCAGTGCACTTGGAGCCTTGTTCCCTGCAAGCTGAGTGCTTGGGCGGCCACCCAGGAGAGATTCAAGTGCCACCCAGCAGGTTAGCAGAGCACCCACCGCCGGCAGCCTGTGTTTCTCCTGGTGGTGCACATCCACACATGCCTTGGTGCACCGAACAAAATGTATTCCACACAGGATGGTAAAGCTTAGAGGGAATATTGACTAGGAGTTGTGAGAGGATGGAGCATGCTCAGGACAGAGGGAAGCTCCAGAAAATGTAGCTGCCAAACTCTACCAAGTCCCTCTCTAGCATGAGCCAGCGGAAATTATTTTTATAGGCTTATAACTTGGCCCCATTTGGGTGGTTTTTCACTGGAATGACAAAAATCACCTCCCTAACACCAGGGCAACGTCCCTGCCCCACACCACGAGGGTGCTAGAGTGTCTCGAGGAACATGGCCGTCAGGTTTATTTTTGCATTTTTCCCTAATCACGGACTAGGAACAGCTGGACTCGTAGCTAAACTTTAACATAGAAATGCAGCTGGAGGCAGACCCCTGGCACGGGAACTTTGGCCCCGGCAGCTCGTGTTCGGGGAAGTTCTAAGCACATGGAAAGTGGAGTGTGTGCGACAAGTAGGGGTGTTGCTGCCGGCCAGTTAGTCCCAGAGCTCCCCCTCAGGGTTCGCCGTTGGGGCGGATCCTGCTAGGGTGACACACATAGGCACATAGTAACTAACGTGGTGTTTCCGGGGGTCCCTTTCTCTGTCTCCCCTGCCAGCGCCATCAAGGGGTGGTTCAGCCAGTACCACCGGAAGCACCGGTTCGGGAACCCGCGCAACCTGGAGACCTTGGGCAGCAAGGTGTTGAAGTACGTGAGGCTCCCGTGGCCCGCTCTGGGGGGCGGGAGCAAATGGGCTGCGTGCCACGGGGTGGGCCCGTCGGGGTCTCTGTGCGGGGGGGGGCTCCTGGCCGGGCTTTTGCAGAAGCCAGCGCTTGCCTTCCTGGGGGCGAAGGCCTTGTGGTGAGCGAAGCCTCCACGTGCCACCGAGCCGGCGCTCGAGCCTGAGAGAACCTCCATGGGGCCGGGGCTGAGAGGGGCGGTACAGGTCTGGGCAGGGAGCGCTCCTGTGCCCTGGGACTGCCCAGCCCAAGCCAA